GGATCACAGCTTCTTAGGTCATTGGACTCATGTTTCCCTATGAAATAGCATGTACTCAATCCACCAGCAAGTTTCAGGCCATGACAAAAATTTGTTTACACTGTCATTCCCATAGTTTCTACAATAAACAAACTGCACCAGAGTCAGCATTAGGAAATGTTTGCAACTTTCCTTCTAAAGTAAACCTAGTACAAATTAAGGCCCAGTTCACGGATTCTAGGCTCAACTCTTCTCACTGCTGAAAAAGTACACACACAAGACCACACCTTGTTCAATGAATTGTGTTTCTCCCATCATGACAACTCTAAAAATATGCTTATTGAAAGAGAAAGAATGCATCAAAATCTTTCTTTGTTATGGATCACCACATTGCAGGAGTAGCTTCCTTTTAACAGAACAGCCTGCATAAATGCATTTTAAGCTAATTACCTTTAGGTGGAAAATATGACTTGCTTTCAGCTTTGTGAGGCCAGTCCACCACAAGAGGTCCAAACCTACGAAAGCTGGCAGTGATCTCATCTACAAAAAACAAATGAGGCACCTTAGAGAGAATCTGAAGACTGACAGTGGTAAAATAAACACTCTTGCTTAAAAAACATTACGGATGGTTTTCCATTTCTTTTAAGAACAGGGAAAACTGAAATAATATACATATAAAATGTCTAAATATTCTTTCACCTCTATGCTATACTTTGCTGCTTTAAAATGCTTTTGCCTTCCACTAATGCATGTTTGCAGCAGGATTAAATGCAAACATGATCTATCAAAAGTGAATATGCTTCAGCTGTGGCCTATTTCTAATAATAGCCACAAAGCTGGGTCAGATGCACCCACATGGGACTGATGGAAGCGCTACATGTCAGCATGGCCACTCCTTGTTGCATGACCTAGAACGCAGGCTGCATCAGATGACATGACTGTGGGGACTCCACCTTCCTCAGTCCCCTCTAAAAATCTGCTTTGAACTAACAAATTATTTCTTTGCTTTTGAAACATAATTTTAAAAACACTAAGGAAAACATTTATCTAAAACTATTCTACAGGACAATTTTGTTTTACGTGCAGATGTTTCAGAAAAAGAGCATTTTCAGTTCTATTAAAAAAAAATCTTTTTTCTAAATACATTTGTTGATGAATTTTAAAGAAAGAATCAGTTTAAAATTGTGTCTAATGTGATGCTAGATAGATCTGAGCAACAAAGCATCAGGAGAAAAGTTTGAAGAGAAAGGAAGTGGTCTCCCAACTTTTTTATTGCAATTTGAGATATGGCCAATTTATCTGACCCCATAAGCTGCGCATCAGATGGCTAGAGCTGCAAAACACATACCACATAACTCAGGAGCTGAAGGAAAAAGGTGTTATTGGAGTAGATCTCTCATGGAAGAGGGCAATGGCTCCCAAGCGGCCATGTTACTTCCTTGAGGATAAGGCTCAGTGTGTATTTTGATTTTGAATGATCCAGCAGTGTTCATGTCAGTAGTACCTGTTGGCTTGCTTCTTCCTACAGCTGGGGATTGAGATTACCCAGCAGCAGTCCCTGTGTCAACAGCTCTGCAATTCATTACGTGACATGGCAACTGCATTTGAGCTGTTTTGTGAACCATAGGCTGGCCAACCCATACTGTTTCTTTATTGAAATTGTGCATGGCTTAGGCTTAGTAAGGCTAAACCATATACATCATGCCTAGTAAGTCTATTTCTTTATTACAGCTACATGGTTTAAGCTTTTGGACTAAGCAGAAAATCAGATTCAGAGATGCCTTTAGGCATCCTCATATTCCCTATATACACTGATTGAAGCTAGACAGAGGTGGATTCCTGCTATAATATGAAAACATACAACAAATTGTCATGATTTTAGTTTAGGGCTGGGGGGAGGGGGGAAGGGCATTGGCACATACAAGTAAAGCAGATAACAGATTGAAAAAAGCCTGACTATCCCTACTAAACTAGCTATTGTTTTGTTTTGTAACCATATTAAATGGCCTACCTTTGTCAAATGAATCACTATACATATGTTGGATATGACAGCTGATTAATTAAAGGCCAATTTATTGTTATGGTGAGTACTGCATTAACAAGGTCCTCAGAGTACCCACAACTTCTAAAAAGAAAAGGGATAGACTGGAGAGGAATGACAGTACACACTAAATTCCTTTCTTCAGTTTTCCCCCTTCATGCGTACGGACACACATGCCACTTGTGCAGATCAGAAGACCTGCTATGCAGGCACTTCTATCTTTGTCTCTTCTGATCTACGGTACAAAAGAACGTCAAGTAAATTTTCAGGTGTGGGGGGAAGGGGTTTAATTAATGCCACAACTGCTACAAGTGACATATCTGGGAAAATATACCTCTTTTATAAAAATCGGACCTTTCCTAAGTAATTATATGAACGCCAATTCCCACCACCATTGTAACTTATTCACAGTACCTTCATCAATGTCAGGAGGAAGACCTCCAACAAACACCTTTCTAGAATAGCGTTCCACTCTTTCACCATTCTGACAGCGTGTTGGAGAGCTGAGACCCGATGATAAAGACTGATCACCATGACTGTCGTCTAGGAAGCCATCTTCAAAAGGAAAGA